CATTAATAATTTGTAAAGTAATACACCATGATCAATATTGTATGAATGATGTTATCATCATGCTTTGTGATTATTTGAGAGTGAGATTTCGTTCTTAGAGTTGATTCCTTCGATCATGAAGTTGTCATTGTCTTTCTAGAAAGATACTTGTCTTGACTTATAAGTTATTTATCATTTGTATATACTCAGTTTAAATTATTTAATTGAAAAGTGTTTATTGTTTGATAGTAAGCGGTGTCATACATTTATCTAGACTTCATAGTATAGACTGAATTCTTTTAATCAATTCGCAAATGTGGACACTAGTGTCTAAGTGACTCAACATTTTCTGCATTCCTTTTTGATGTTGGATGGTTGGAGACAATAATCAGGATGCTCTATATAACTTAATTTACTACTCAGTAATAGATAAACCACTGTTTCATAGTTTAAACTGAATAAAGTTCTACAATCTCCATAAATTCTTGTATATTAATGATAATCGCACTCAGTTCCTGGAGTTCTGGTGAGAAGCTATAACCTATGGAGTTCAACTACGCCGGACATGAGATAATCATCCATTTCAGACAACAGATGACTGAAGTTAGATATGTACATAATTAGAGTTTTCATGTATGATTGAAGGTTGTGGGTTTTATGCCCGGACGAGGGCTGGTAGATGGGCACTGTTGAGCAGTCCCGTAGTAAGACGAAACGGCGGTTTGGTGCTTCCAGATTTTCAGTGGTGGTCTATCTAAGATAAGTTTTTTATTCAACCTATTCAAAAGCATACTGTCAATGCCATGTAAAATCATCGCGAAATTTATTTCTGTTAACAAGTGGTAACTTGAATACTTTCTTTCATTTCGACCATGATAAACAATGAAAATTATATTTAAAATATTCGTTAGCATGACATATCGACAGAACTACTTTACTTCTTGTTCTGATTTAGGAAGGGTTGAATAATTTCCAAGGTATACTGGGTAACGAAAGAGCTTAACATAGATACTGCTGTAGTGAACGAGAGCACAAATAGGGACAATCAAGTGTATTTTGAAAAACTACAGAACCTCTTGGTAAAATCCAGGAATCATACAGTAAATACTTCATTTCCAAAATGTCAATCGATTGTCTCATAACTGACTGTTCCCTCGTTTTCATATCAATCTCTCTTCGTTCCCGTTCTTTTTTCTTTGATTTTCTCAATCGGCCACCGGGCATTCCACCTTCGATTGGTGATACATACTACTTATATCTGTCGACATCAGTAACACACAACACGCTACGTGTTTATGGCTAGTAATATGTTACTGAATAGATTATTTTTATGATTTTTTCCAACTTCCAACTTCAACAGTAAACCTCACAAACATAAGAAAGAAATATCACTATATCTCATATGACTTTAAGTTTATTCATATTCATTGCTTTTTCCGATTCATAGATGAGTGTTTTTCGAAATACATAATGATAGTTTCTTCATTAAAATTGGGCATTCGCACACGTTACTTATCCTGATTTGATATGCTGAGATAAATATTGTTTTATAACGATTCGTACATCATGACCATGACGTTGCTTTCTCGACCCTCTGTAGTATGAAAGTGAACCTTCCGAAAACTAATGAATTATTTAGTTATAACTACTATCAATAATAAAAGGAAAGAATCAACAGTCAATCATCGCCATTCTTATTGTGTATTAAATTTATAATCAAAGCAGTGAAGAAAAATAGACATGCTCATTAAAAAAGCAGATCAGTACGGACCATCTAAGTTACAACATAATGCTAAGGCGATCAGAAGATTACTTAACAATTTGTTAATAATGTTAAACTATCATTAATGATGTTAACCACGATTGCATTTTTACTAGTTCCGTCTTTCATACGATCTTGGCTCCTTTCTGATTGGTTTGCAATTGAAAGTCATGCGTTTGTCACTAAATATATATATACTGATTTGTACCATTTCATGTTGTTCTGGTTGAACATCAAGTTTCCCAAACGCTTCGTCTTCTCCCTGTATTGAAGGAGAATTGTCCAGGTGCTCTATGCCAGTTGCCCTTATCGAGTAAGCAACAAGACTGGCTCAATCGTTCCTTCACAAGCAAACATTCGGGACTGACAACCAAAGGACGGAAAGGTCTCAATTGCATGATACTCGATACACTGATACAAATATCTTGCTGTTATACTCTTGACTATTTCATTCATTTCGGCTAAAATGCTAGTCTTTCTCCATGTTATCCATGCTCATAACTTAACTAAGATGGGAAGCTGCGACTCGTGTAGTTAATCATTTTAATTGTACGAAAATAAATAACTCATGTATTATATTGGTAAAGTATTGTCAGTTGGTTAGTAAGTTATGATCAACACAGAGCTTGGGATAAGTATCTGTTAGCTCAAGTTGTCTTACCGCATATTAGCCAAATAAGATAAAACTGGGATGATGTATGGTGGAAACGATCGATAATAATGTTATAGTAATGACAACGATAAAGACTAAACATTGAGAATATGGTTCGCAAAAGCAGAATGACAAGATTTATGTAGAGGAATGAAAAATGAAGTTCAAGATATAGTATAAGATAAATAGTGAATGTATCTACGCTAACGTGAACGATTATCAGCCATATCATTCAACGTCTCCAACCACTGGTCTTGGCAATTACATGGACCCTAATCACATGGTCTGCATCTACAAACATGGGTCAGATCCACAGTCAGTGATTTCATGAACTGATGACTAGTTTTTGGTTAGATAACCCCTAGCTTCCTTCCAACTTATTTCTACACCGGTTAATACAGCATATCGGCGTAGGTGATGGTCAGGGAAGCGTAACACATGTCCCAACCAGCTTAGAAAAAGAAAATTCACAGCCTAATTGACCGATAAGCACCACATTATACCATAAAGAGACTGAAGTTGAACTGTAGACCGACTGGATCAGAATGCAATAGCTTAATGATATTTTGCTAACAGCGGAATCCAAATCTTTGGATTCGAGATCCCAATGTGAAGTCATTAATGAATATCGCGGAAATAATGACGTGAATTTTGTGTTAGCTGTTTAGTCTTCCGTACATTACAGTGGTTTCCCAATTTATGCTACTCTATGACAAATAACTAAATCATTTACAGAATACATCTTTAGACTAGTATATAAGTATTTCCACTTTATTTGTAAGATTTTTTCTTATATTATTTCAGTTTCTACAAATGAAGATACGATGTCCTAGAAGCTAACCGTCTTCTTTGTTTTAGTTTGATCCTGTTAATCTGAATCTTCATAGAATCAAGGATTTTTGTAGTTCTCTGAATTCCGATTCAGATATTAGAATTGAATAAGATACATGATTAGTGTGCCATAAAATTAAGCTAAAATTAAGCTAACAACAACTTCACTAGTCCTTATACTGAATGTGGTGAAATTTATTGGAATCTAGATGGGTTGAAGTTTCTAACTTCCTACTCTATTGTTACTAATATGTAATAATTTACAATGACATGTAGAAAGTTTCAGATGAATCGAAAAATAAGTCAAGCCCTGGTACGGTCGAGAGTTGGGATAGTCCGCTCTCCTTCTTGAAATGCTTTCACATGGCCACGCGTATATAGCCTCTGCCACGGAAGTCCTACTCAATACCTCGTGGCGGGGATGTTGTTTACAGAATTGAGAGGACGAAAATCGAATTCTGGCGCTTTAACCGGATTCCAGACCAATGGTGCACATGGGCTCAAGTACTTTGAGGGAACAAATAGCGTATGAACCAGTTGTTGGTCACCGGTTTCCATGGGACTGCATCTCCTTACGATGCTCACTGCCTTGTGGATCAGACCTTCAGGTCAAAGGCTCGGGGTGTGGCCCCCTAAGAAAACCACCTGCTTCGGTTTGGGCACCCGGGCAGTATCACAGCCCTCACACATATCGAATGAGATTTGTGTGGCGCATATATATTTGATGCCTCCTTGTACCAATATCTATGTGTTAAAATACATAATGAATAAATAAATACAAACCAATAAATATTTCTTTTAGAAATGTTATTATTATTATTTTTTTTACCCTCAATGGTTCCTATCTTAATTTCATTCACTGTTATTGCAGGGGAATTCCATGTTGTATCCCCAACCAAAAAAAATACATCCCAACATACACGTTAAAAGCATTTTCTTATACACTTTATGGAATAATATTGTCCAACCGGCCTTTTTTTTAAAAAAAACTATAAGACAATTAATTAATATCCTTGACTAGTCATTTTACTTGCCCAATCATGAAACTTTCCGAAGGTCAAATAACATCAGACCAGATATCTGCTCAGCCCATTAAAACTATTCGGGGGTGGATATGATTGGATTGGTTAAGCGGGTGAAAAAATGATTGGTTAAATCCAACAACAACAACAACAAATTGTGGGAGCCTGGATATATCCAATGTAAGTTTATGGCACGTGTGCTAAATGTGTTTGTTTGTATCTATCTATCTATATATATATATACATACATACATACATATATATATACTGTGGTGAGTGAAATTGTTTACGAAATTAAAGAATGAACACACAGTTATAAATGGAACTATATTTAAACTCTAAGCAAAGGTAGTTTAGTAGACACATTTATTATCGACATGTTTATATATATATGTATAATGAGACCATTGAATTAGCAGCACTAAATGTGTATACATGTCATGCTTTTGAGTTGATGTCTGGATTGGTTGTCAAAATTACAACAACAAAAAATCATTCTAATTTACTTAGCCTTGGCAAAATTTGGGTCATTCATTTGGTCTTATATATATATATATATATGTGTATGGTTAGTTGTACAGTTGTCAACAGTTTAAACTTAAGCACACGTTATGCAATATTCATTTGGATTCATGGAAAGAACAAACAAACAATAAACATTATTATTATTATTATTACTAATCCAGGTTTATAATATAATATTAGAACATATGGTACTAAACCACAGTTTAATTGTGGTGTGTTGTTGTGTGTCATGAGTCATCATTATTCAATGCAATCACAATTTCTATCGTCATCGTCATCATCATCATCATCATTATTATTAACAGACAGATCAAATATTACTCATTCTAATACTGATCTAATTATGGGAAATACTGTTCCGTCCTCTTTTCTTGAAATGAATTTAACCCAAACAGCAAATGGTTTATTAAATAATAATAATAATAATAATAATAACAGTAATAACGATGTGGATTTGAATCGTCAAACTCGTGTAAATTTAACAGATGATAATTCACAATGTAAATCACCATTATGGATACCACCTGTTACACCATATACATTACTTGGTTTATTAAAACCTCATTTAACACAATCTAGTTTATTTGTTAATAACAATACAACACATCAAATACAACAACAAACAAGTAATGGAACAATTATAAATACAAAATTATGTGAAGATTCAATAGGACATCAACCATTTCAACAACAACAACAACAACAACAACAACAACAACAGTCTAGTTTAAAACAATCACAACAGCAAATCTCATCAATGTCTGCTTATCTTTCGGAACTTTTGAATCAATCTCAAACATCGATAACAACAACAACGACAACGACTAGTGGGAAGAATTCAGTACATGGTGAGTTCGAATAGTTTTATTGTTATAGTATTTATTTTTATTGATGTTTACATGTAGTTAAAATCACGTCAAGTTCAAACATTTTGCCATTTACTTAGTAGGTGATTGTTACATATTAAAGTTTTCACTAAAGGTTTCATATAAAATTATCTACCTACAAATATCTTTTATGAACACACTACTGTAGAGCGCATACCAACATTCCAAATGAGAAAAAAAAAGTAAATAGAGTGAAAGTTATAGCTTGTAATGATGATGTTTTGAGTGAAATTTATGCTCTTATATACAGTATTTACTCAAATAAGTAGACGAATAAAAAAATGCCTGAAAATGTTCGATACTTCATGTATATTGAACATTGAAAAATAAGACACGCTGTAAAACCATACAGATATGTACTTTATCTCCTTATTGGGTTAAGTTGTAACAATTCCCATGTACTTTATAAATTGTATGCTGATAAATTATAAAATGACATTGTGCTTATTTATAAAAAATAGTGTCATTCGATAAACAATTAATATCTATAGAGAAATAGAAAGAGAGAGAGTCCTAGTTAAAAGTTGTGTTACTCATCTCAACAGTAAACCAGAGAAATCATTCATCAGCTTCCAAGGTATATAACACACAGTGATAACATCATTATGGGCATAGATCTGAGTAAACTTTCATTTGGTTTTTTTCTTTCAGTCATTTACTAATACACACCACAACAAATACTCATTTTATTTTATTTTTAAACTGATGTATCTTAGTCGGAATTGGATGGATAGAATATGACCGATATATATTATCATCTATAGGTTAGTCTATATAATTTTAAGTTACACCAACAATATAGAAGTTTTAAATCGTTCAATGTAGGGAAATGTGAAAGATTACTTTTAGGTTGTATATTTCCATCAATTACACACTATTCTTTCTGAATAATTTTCTTTTCCAAGTATTATGATTGATTCCAAGATGATTTGTTAAATAGTTTTTCCGACATTAGGAGACTATAGTTGGTTTTAGCATCAAATGTCTTCTGGGATTTTCAATATTCATAAGCTTTGTTATATTCATAGCTTCATTGAATGCACTGCGCTATCTAGATTGTAAATAAGTTGATGTAAAGCTACAGCTTGTCAAACTAATCTTAGTAATCTTATGTATCTTATCGGAATTATAGAGAGAGCCTTAGGGATCTTGGTAACAGTATGTACGATGTTAGAATTAATGATCAGATAGTATATTTATGTAGAATTAATCTCGTTATTTAATTAGTAAGGTGAGTTTAGATCACCAGTTCAAAAGTTTTGGTCATATTTTGTTTGTAAGGTCTCAGCGGCTTTTTATTGAGCACTTCTCTGATATCAGTATTGACCTGGAATAAGTGAAGCAGTGATAGGTTTATTGAATCATAGATGGTTATGTCAGCTTTGTATCTGTTGTCGGAAATTTCAAAAAGCACACCATTAGGTAGTTGAAAGTTGAATTATACATAATTTAAAATCGAAGCCAGTGATTATCGTGTTATGGTGTTTTTACGTCTATTAAATAAACGGTAAGGTGTCTTTCTAAAAGAAATAAAATCTCTCTGCGTTTTACTCTCATTCACAAGATGTATATCGATAATTTTATTGTAACCATCATACTACGCTCCCTTTTCTGTCCCATGACATGTCATCACATTGTTTTGGGTAGTCATCTCATTTTAGTTGGATTTTACATTGACAAAATAAACTATCTGATATTACATTTATTTTCTCGTAGTTTCCTTTGATGTATTCTTCAACTTATATGCAGGCATATCTATTCTTATTTTTGTTCAGATTATTTTTCTGGTCACTTTTTGATTTTGTTACACTATTTATGAACCATAAATGAAATATGTAGTGTTACTACATTGGTTCTCATAGACAAACTTGATGAGTATTTTCGGGATATACATCAACTATCATTGTTCGATGTTCCATCGGAGCCTCGACGCCTACACTGTTACTTTAAAGTATGCTGAAGTACTTTCTAAAAGCTATTGTGGTACGGAAATATTTGACAAAGAACAAGTATACTCCATTTCAAGTGTTATTGTTTCTCTAAGGATATTAAAAGATATTCGTTCATAAAATTGAGAAACTTTTGTTCTCAATTGATTACGTTAAAATTTAAGCTTCTTGGCTGTAAGATGCTCGAGATACAAGAAATCGATCATTAAATATATACTTGGCTAACATGACTTAAAGTCAATGACAGTGATGGATATGCATCTGTTTTTTTTTAAATATTTTTCATTAGGAGGTATGTTAAGCTTATCCATTGTAAAGATAGTTACCATCCTAGACCAATGAGTACTGACTAACTGACAATCCTGTCAGCGATCAAACTTAAAATATTCAAGTCTCGTGGTAAACACGTTACTTATTGACTGTTGAATTGGTTAACTATTTAATAGTTTATGATTCCAAAATCAGCTATTTTTCATCAAAGCTTTGAACATGTTATCACTGCTCGAAATTTATTTGTTTCCAAGATATCTGATATTCTACTAATTCGTTCCCATTTTAGTTTTCTCCATTTTTTATCGACCATGATATTTCGTTGTATGACAATGTTATTGTAGTTATGATATATATTTGTATTTTCCTTTATTTTCCTTGATTAATTTTATTTCTTTACTTTTTAAAAGATAAGGTGTTAATAATAGTCTTATGTGAATCCTTAGGTTCATATATGTAAATGGTCGTCTTCACTTAAATATTAGGAAATGTAATGAATTAATATATGTTTCATTAATCATCGATTTTGTTTTGTTTTCTTCATTCGCATTCCTTTTAAAACAATTTCAGCCTTATTACTGAACAAGGTCTATGGGTATTGTTCGATTTTTCAGCTTAGATTATGAATTGATGTTAGTCAAATAGATAACCACGGAAAACTAGGGAGTAAGTGTTTCGTCATAGTACGGAACTTTTCAGTCGTGAATATCCACTAAACATTGAACTTCTAACCTTTAGGCACATCGATGAGCGCTTAATCCTTATTCATTGAGTTAGAATTCACTGATTTACATTTCTAACTTCAGTTGATTTGCGATATTATATAATCATCATCCATTGGCATTGATCATACCTGTCTAAAGCCTAACATGATTTAACTCCATTGGTCATAGCTTCTCTTCCTTATAAATCAAACATTTCAATTATCATAAACTAGCATTTTTAAAGTTGATTTTAATTATTCTATGCTATTTACTAGTTGAATTGTATCTAACAATTTATTAGTGCTATCAATGTTGTAATAAGTAAAGAGGTGCATTTAATTATGTAATATATTTTCTGTAACTCAATTGGCTAAATTGTCAAGTTGTAACTTTATATAAATGTACAAGACCCTACAGAAGTTGCTTTCAATTAATTCAAGGTTGCAATACAGATTAGAATTGTGAAATCATACGTATACTATATGTTGTTCTATTAAACAAGTATGAGGAGTTTGTTTTTTTGAAGGAGATATGTTAACTTCAATGAAATCTCAGTCAGTCAGTCAGTCAGTCAGTCAGTCAGTCAGTCAGTCAGTCAGTCAGTCAGTCAGTCAGTCAGTCAGTCAGTCAGTCAGTCAGTCAGTCAGTCAGTCAGTCAGTCAGTCAGTCAGTCAGTCAGTAATAACGTAGAACTTCGTACGTACGTACATCAGTTCGAGTTGCCATACCACATTAGCACAGAGATACAGTTGTCGATTCACATCCTGTAGTGGTAGAGGTAGTAAAAGTATAAGCAGTAATCGGAAACATTAGGGTTTAAAGATATTATTCAAGGAGTATAATCCATTGAAATAAATTTAGAAAGAAAATAAAGGACATGAAGAATTCAGAAGATTAGAATTTGGGAGAACATTAGGAGTGGATGCACCTGCGCCATTGCAAACGATTTTGAGCCATGTCATTCAGAGTCTCTAACAATCGGTTGCTATCATCTCGCGGTCCCCAACCAGGTAGTCTACACCTACTAACATGACTCAGTCCATTTGTCAATGACTTTATGGACTTGTGCCATGTTTTGGTCTGGCCGCCTCAATGAATTCTAAAAGAGATCATCAGTTCTCATTTATTTTTTAGCTGTTTGCAGATACATTTGAACTGAAAAATAGGAAAACAACTGACTGAAATCTTGGTTTCATAACTTAAAGAGTGTATATATTTATATTGTAATGGTAATGATGATGATGATATGGGGAATACCTAATCAATAAAATATAGTGTCATATGATCTAGAAACAGAAATATAAACACAATGGGAAAGAAAACGTTGACTTTTAAAAGTCCCAATTAATTTACATCTATAGGGAAACGATTCATACTACTGTTGTTGTTGTTGTTGTGTTATTTTTCATTGCCTAAATGGAAATGATTTTAAACAGATCCAGCAAATATTATAAAAACCATAAGAAAATTGGGTTTGTTTTATACAAAGCCACAAACTATTACTAATCTTTTCTATGTACCAAATATTCTCTCTTTTTAAGGTGTATTTTATAAAAGTCTCTTTGACCCCCCTTGATCCATTAATTCACTTTAATGATCTTTAATTTGACATCTACATAAAATTTTGAAGCAAATATAAAAATAATTGGGAAAGTGTTAAATAATTTAACATTTCAGTTTTGATATAACGGTAATCAGAGGAGTACAATGTGTAAATGTATTTACACGGGTGAAAAAAATCATTCATATGTTCTGCTTACCGTATTTTCACTGCTATTTTTTTCTAACATTGAATCACAATATAAATTTCTGACATTTTGTGCCTTGATGTTTAACTCACTTAAATTTTCAAATCAGTATTTTCAGAATGGAGATTTGTGAAGATTGTAGTAACTTTAATAGTTAAGTTTATGAATCGATCTAAGCTAGACTACCATTGAATATCTGAAAGCACTGGACGGCCGTCTCGTTCTAGTACGGGACTCCTCAACAGTGCTCATCTACGATCCCGCATGCGGGACGCAAACACTTAACTTCT